AACTCTTTCCATATTTTCTTTTTTGAGCCCCTTGATACCACTTTTGAGGCTTCCAAATAGAAAGACTTTATTCTTTATCCCACTTCGTTCACAATGGTCTCAATCTCCTGCTCCGTTAAGTATTTTTCCTTAGCAGTTTACTCACTAACCTGTGGCAGACCCTGCGCTACGTAATTGGTAGTTACCTAATGTAACTTAAGTTCTACGAATGGTGTGTAGAACTTAAGTTACCCACGCTGTGGGTACTCTTCGAAGCGTCCAAGCTTCCCGCCAGAGAGAACTAAATGCTCCAGTTACGTGCCAGTCCCATCTATAAATAGCCCTCTACAGCCCGCACCTGCCACTTTGAACTCTGCCAAAGCCAGGCTGGACTGATGGGCCTGTAGCTAAGGGGCTACGCACCATTCGTAGAACTTAAGTTACATTAGGTAACTACCAATTCTACTTAATGGTGCTCTGCCCCTTAGAAGGCTACGCTATGGGTAACCACGCGTAAGCCGTTGGAAACATGTACTCCCATCAGGCCAGTGATTGGAGCCCTGCCCGAGATACCCCCAACACCTCCAAGGTGAGTGGCCTCAGGGCAGGAAAAGGAATCCAACACAGTGTTAAAGGCCGCTCCTATCAAGAGCTTCCGAAGGGAAGGCCAGGACCCCAGAGGGACAAGGTCAGGCAAGTGTCCAGGTCGCCTCTACCAAGAACTACTGAGACCACTGCTGCCCAAGCGAAAAAAGCTTAGAGCAGACCCCCAGGACGCCTCTATAAAGAGCACCTGAACAGGGCGGCCCTGATCAATACATATATGCAATATGTATGTTATAAATAAAGGACCCTAGGTTGCCTCTCCCAAGAGCACCTGACAGTCCTAATCAGATCCCAGTGTTCAGAACAGAGTGGGCCACAGACCGTTCTGACACGTTAACCAGATAAGACTGAGCAAAGGTAGAGGACGAAGTCCAGGACGTCTGTAGCCTGGCAGACGTCCTCCACTGTGGCACCTTGGAGCAGAGCCGTGGAGGCTGCCAGTCCCCGTGTGGAATGCGTCCTGAATCCCACCGGAGGAACCAACCCCTGAGCCTGGTATGCCATGCAGACCGCTCGGGAAACCCATTGCGCCAGTCGCTGAGAGGACAGCGGGGCGCCCTTGTTCCTAGGACCCAAACACACAAACAGCTGGTCAGAGCGTTTGAACGTAGCTGTGACGTCCAAGTTGCACCTAAGCATCCTGAGTGGACACAACAAGTGCCGCCGCTCATCCTCCTCCGAGGTATGAGGGGGCGGATAAAAAGGTCTGATCCTGATAACCCTTGACCTAAAGGTCGAAGAAACGACCTTGGGAAGAAAGGCTGGATTGGCCCAAAGTTCCACCAGACCATCCCCAGCTCCAAACGATAAGCAGGCCGGGCTGATTGAGAGAGCGTATAGGTCTCCCGCCCTTTTGGTTGACGCCAAGGCCAATAAAAGGGCAGTCTTAAAAGCCACACACTCTGGACTGGCCCGGGCCACCGTTCGAATGGGGGACCCGACAGTCCCCTTAGAACCACTCAGCCTGAGACGGCAGACGTCGCACTTCCTTCGTCCAACGCGGGAGGGCGAAGGAGTCCTCGGACGAGCAGGAGACGGCGATGACATCTTCAGACTTCGAGTGTGGTGAGTAGAATTCTCTCAGTGGCGCCAGAGTGAAAAGTGGCAGGTGCGGGCTGTAGAGGGCTATTTATAGATGGGACTGGCACGTGATTGGAGCATTTAGTTCTCTCTGGCAGGAAGCTGGACGCTTCTAAGAGTACCCACAGCGTAGCCTTCTAAGGGGCGGAGCACCATGACGTAGAATTATGCATATGTTTTGCCTCATTCACCTCAAAGCAATGTGGGTTTTCCTTAGTTTTGTGCATAAAGCCCCATAAATGCACCTGATATTGCTCAAAACTGTCTCATCCACTGCCCTGTTCTCCGCAGCAGAGATAGGATGGCAAGGCGCATATGGGAACTGGCTCACGGGCAGTATATTTCATTCATTAATTCATTTATTATTTGTCTATTACGTCGAAATTTCAGGAGAGATGAGCGCTGCAGTGGATCTAGACACTAGGGAAAAAAGTGTATATATATTATAGCGTATATATATATTTTTTAAACGTGAATAAGACTCTCAGTCTTCTTAGCCGACTTCCTGCTGACCTGTCGTAAAGACGGGGCGTGATCAGGCGGTTTCAGAATATTTATAGGTGTGACTTTCATAAATACGCTGGTTCTGAGCGCAGCATTTATTAAACAGCCGCAGGTGCGTACGCTCAAATCTTTGCGGATCTCACATGTTCATAAATGCCACGTCAGATCTTGCGTATCTGAAATCTACACCCAAAATGTACACCTTTTTCTGCGCAATTTTCATAAATGAGGCCCAATGTGTTTGTGTGTGTAAATGTCTGTGTGCAGGCGGATGCTCGCACGCAGGCATAAGGCCTATGTGTTTGTGTTTGTATTACGAGCCACAAGGGGGTGGTGTCTAGGAGTGTGGTTCAATAACAAAATTAAACCGGGTGTGGAACAGACACGGGAGGCGGAGGTCCAAACAAGTAACAGGTTTATTAGAAAGGTGCAAAAGTACCACTGTTCTGATCACAAAAACAAACGTGAGGTGCAGACGCAGGACCCACTGGTCCAACGGGCGGTCGAAGTGGAAGAGAGAGAGCCGGGTCTGGATCCAGGCCCTTTATGCCTCCCAGTTTATTACAGGTCCCACAGGTGTGAGTGGGACGTCACTCAGCTGGAGGGGGAGGGTCTGACAGGTGGATACAATATAATACAATACAATACAATACAATTCATTCTTGTACAGCCCTAAATCACAACATAAGTCATCTCAGAGGCTTAACAAAACCATTGAAATCACCAACACAGATCAGAGAATCAACAGTTAAGACACAAAGAATATAGAACACATGTTGTAAAATGTTAAAGTGTCCTGGATCATCACCACCTCCTTCTAACTAACACTAACTGCCCAACAGACCCTCGACAAGGAAAAACTCACAAAAACCCAGTGAGAAAAAAGTGAGAAACGTCAGGGAGACCAACATAGTCTCTGGACCCGTAAGTCCATGTCAAGTCCAAGTCCCTGGACCCGCAAGTCCATGTCAAGTCCAAGTCCCTGGACCCGCAAGTCCATGTCAAGTCCAAATCTCTGGACCCGCAAGTCCATGTCAAGTCCAAATCAAGTCCAAGTGTTGTGATTTAGGTTGAAACAAGAATAAATTGAATAGAGTATTTTTCCATGAGGCGTCCTTGATGTAAATCATTTTTACACAGAGGGGCAAAAAAGTATTTCGTCAGCCACCAATTGGGCAAGTTCTCCCACTTAAAATAAATCATCATAGGTACACTTCAACTGTGAGAGACAGAATGTGAAAAAAAAATCCAGGAATTCATGTAAATTATGGTTGAAAATAAGTATTTGGTCAATAACAAAAATTCAACTCAATCCTTTGTAATATAACCTTTGTCTTTACCAGGTTTGCACACACAGCAGCTGGTATTTTGGCCTTTAGAAAGGACAAATCAACTGAACTTGCATTATTGTCTGGACTAGTTTTCCTCCTTTGATCTTCCTTCATGGTCCCAAACAGACGACATATTTGTATTAATCAGTTCATTTCTTTGAATGAGGGCAGTACATATGAATGTGTCAGAAACAGCTTCAACATCAAGATGCTGGAATTAGCACAAAAGCTAAAATGCATCCTTTGTCCTAAAGCGGCAGAAGAAACACATGTTTAATATATATGCTCTGTATGTTCATGGGGAGGCTGCACCTTTTTACTTCTTTCTCCATTTAGAGCCCACCACTTGGAAACACAAATACATTTGTACAAACACATTGAAATTGTAAATATGCTTCAATAGTTTTTATCTGCAGTTTAGTTCAGAATAATAATGTCCCACTCTGTCTCCTTCTTCATCACATGTCAGTTTGAAGCTTAGACTTGATGCAGCTTTAAAGGAACCATAAGATTTTCCTTTCAGACAAAAACATGATGTATCCGAGTCTCCAGACACAAAGTAAAGATGTTCAAATCCACAATAAGTGTTTGGTCTGTAAAGCTCAGCAGCTGCAGCACAGGGTAAAGACTGAAGTGTGATCCTGTAGAGTCTGACTCTGGGTTCACATGATGCAGCCTCAGCTCTGTCTCCTTCACTTTGTTCCAGATGCTGCGTCTTCACACCTGCTTCTCACAGGTTTTCATGTGACGACAAAGAGATGAGCTATGAGTAAAAGACTTTCCACACTTTTCACAGACAAATGGTTTCTCTCCAGTGTGGATTCTGCTGTGGACCTTGAGATCTCCTTTTCTAGTAAAACATGTTTGACACTGATCACACTCGTACGGCTTCTCTCCAGTGTGGCTCCGATGGTGAACTGTGCGCTTTTCTGCAGTTCTAAAAGTTTTACTGCAGAGGTCACATGCAAATGGTTTTTCTCCGGTGTGAATTCTTTCATGTGTTTTGTAGTGTGAAAACCAAGTAAACTCCTTCCCACATTCTCCACAAACGAATGGTTTTTCTCCAGTGTGGATTCTGTAGTGACGAGTGAGGCTAGATAATTGTGTAAAAGTCTTTTCACACTGGTCACATTGGTGAGGTCTCTCTCCTGTGTGGACACGCTGATGTAGTGAGAGCTGGTGTTTGGTCCTAAATGTTTTTCCACACTCGTCACACTCAAATGGTTTCTCTCCGGTGTGGATCCTCTGATGATATTTTAAACTACCCTCTTCTCTAAAACTCTGATCACAAACGTCACAGCTGAAGGGTTTTTCTCCAGTGTGGATTCTGCTGTGGCTCTTGAGATGTTCTTTTCTATTAAAGCCTGTTCCACACTGGTCACACTCGTACGGCTTCTCTCCAGTGTGGCTCCGATGGTGACGTGTGCGCTCTGAGGCAGTTCTAAAAGTTTTACTGCAGAGGTCACATGCAAATGGTTTTTCTCCAGTGTGAATTCTCTTATGATCTTTGAGAGAACCACTGTGAGTAAAACTCTGCCCACAGAAGTCACAGCTGAAGGGGTTTTCTCCCGTGTGGATTCTGCTGTGGAGCTTGAGATGTTCTTTTGTAGTAAAACATGTTCCACACAGATCACACTCGTATGGTTTTTCTCCAGTGTGAGTTCTGTAGTGGGTCTTTAGTTTGGAAGGAGAGCTGCAGGTCTTTCCACACTGATCACAGGTGACCCCCATTCTGTAGATGGACTTTGTAGATCTGCCACAAACACAACAAAGACATGTCAGATCATTATAATCACACACACACACACACACACGGCTGGCTTTGACGATGCGGTTCTTTTGTCACCTCGGGGTAGGGCTGGGCGATATGGCTGAAAACTATATCACAATATAAGTCATTCATATCGGTCGATAACGATATATATTGATCTTTATTTTTAAAAACGTAAATAAATACATTTGTTGTGTCGGCTAACACATGTTAGCAGCCTTGTTTACAGTCACGGGGGAATGAGGCTGGAGCCAAATGTTCACAAGCAGTCTCCCCCACTTTAGTCCTGGTTTAATCCTGGTTTAGCTCCTGTTTTGGCTGTTTGAGAGGGTCTTGTGTCCCCGTGGCGGCTCCAGAAAAAGTTAATCTCTTGCTTTTGCCGAATGCATCGAGTCTCTGTACCCACTGCCTCTCCCGCGCCGCACATGTTGTTCCTTGCATGGACGTGTTTAACCATTGACACGGCACTGAAACGCCTTCTTTAGATCCATGGTTATTATAATAGATCCATGATCCATGGACGCTACGCATGGTGCGGTTGTTTTTACGTTTCCCAGAAAATTTTGCGGTTTGTAGTCGGCTGTGATAGGTCGAGAAGTCTCCCCCCAGAATGCCGCGCGCTTCTGACTCGGCTTTACTTCCTGTGTTTTGTTCCTGTTTTTTCGAACGGAGTGAAGTTAAACTATCGAAAGTTCTATCGACCCCGTTCTCTATTGATATCGAACACGTGTCTATCGCAATATATATCGTTATCGGTTTATCGCCCAGCCCTACCTCGGGGGCGCAAAAGAAAAAGGAAACCAGAGGAACAAGTCCGTAAACTAGCCAAAAAAGCCCGGCACAGTGGTGGCGCGACCGCAGCCGTCGCTTGTGTACATAACAACGTGAATGACATAGAGTACATACACCACACCTTGTATACCACCACAGACAAGGTAAAACAAGATGCCACGCACCGGTCATACATGGATGTCACCTAGGGATGTACCATTCCGATATTCAGTATCGGTATCGGGGGCCGATATGGGTATTTTGTAAGGATCGGATAATATTGGATTGGTTATATATGAAGCCGATTTACGTCAATTTTCAGCATGTTTACGCTTTACGGCTGCCGTAAACTAAATACAATGTAAAGCTAGGGCTTGGCGAGAAAACGACAACGAGATATATTGCGATAGACACGTGTTCAATCTCAATAGAAAACTGGGTCGATAGAATGTTCGTTTAGCATCACTAAACTGCAGTACATTCAAAATGCAGCAGCATCCTCCGTGCGGCGATCAGAGAGCGGCCGCACAGAGCCGTCATGGGGACACAAAACAGGAGATAAACCAGGACTAACTATTGGGGAGACTGCTTGTGAACATATTCCTCGAGCCTCATTCCCCGTGACTGTAAACAAGGCTGCTAACGTGTGTTAGCCGACACGACAAACATGTTTATTCAGGTAAAAAAACATTTTAAAGTATTACTGGTAGCAAAATCTTTAATACTTTGAAAATATTAGAAAAAAATTGGATCGTATCGGATCGGTATCGGCAAAACAATATTTAAGAATATCGGAATCGGATCGGATAACAAAAATCTGGATCAGTACATCCCTAATGTCACCACAGTATTTATCCTGAATTTCTCCTACGGGGGATCAATAAAGTATCAGTAAAACGGAGGAGATCAAAGGTAAAAGACTGTGCACAACAGAAGTCCAGAGACGTGACGGTGAAATATTCTGTCTTAACCAGAGCACAAGATAGGATCCCGGTCTGCAAATCCTCATTCATGAGCCTATTCTGTGAGTACTTTGAGTTCCTTCTAATAGTTGTGTAGCTTTGTCTTTTGTGTGTACGCGATATTTAACATAATGGGGAATTGCTATAAACCTTTAGGAAAACACTTGTGTGTATTTAATCTGGAGTCATAACATACCATTTGACAGTGATGTAGGGCTGGGCGATATAAACGGTATAAGCGGTATGCGATATAAATTTGGCCCACGGTAGAGATTTTTGTTATACCGGCATATTGCGATAGGTTGCGACATTAGCCTAGCATTAGCCTAGCACTATTGGACACCACTGGAAACAGCAAACAGCAGCACGGCATTAACACCGTGTTTCTGTCTCTGTATTGTTGTCACAGCGGCCCCAGCAGAGGTAAATACACACACAGTAATCACAGTTTAAGAGTCTACCTTTTGGCCAGTGTCAAAGGGGCGTAGGCTCGAAGCGCCAGCGTGAGCCAAAATAGATCCATGCGTGAGCCGTGTCCGCAGCATCACAGCAGAAGTTTGGTAAAGTTAGCGTCAGATTCGGACCTCCGCAGTCAATAGCTCACGAAAGCTACTTTGTTAAACAAAATGAATTGTGCCAAAATGACCATTTACATCAATTGTTCAAATCCAATGTGCTTTTTTAATGAACATAAATCCATTGAATCATCCAGTTCACTGCAAGCGCAGAGAAAAGCGCTTAGGGAGCGTCAACAAATGTCATGACCAGCTGTAAACGAACAATAGCTTTTACTAAAGCCATGTACCTGCACAAAACTCTCAGACACAACAAAAAATGACCATGTCTAACAGCTGCAGGCTTTGATTTCAACATTTGTGAGTTTTTTTATTTTTTAAATGAATACATGTTTTTCTTTTCTTTTTTTAAATTGCTTTTACAGTAAATGGTCTTTACTGTAACACACATAAATAATGTATGTTACAGCATTTGTCTCGTCATTTGTCTCACAACAACAACAAAAATATATACTAGATTCTAATATATAAATAAGTAACAATCTTGACTATTTTATGCAAGAACCTGCTAGACCTATATTGAAATTCACACACCAAATTATACCGCAATATGAATTTTAGGCCATATCGCCCACCCCTACAGTGATTTATAATTAACTAGTGTTTGACGTTACATTTCTGGGGCAAACACAGACTGTTCTCTGCAGTGTTTGTTTTTATCATTAACAGTAGTTGAAGCTAGTTACTGCATTTCCCTCTGGATCAATAATGCATCTATTTATTAAACTAACATTTTAGTGACATACTTTTGCAAAGATGTAGCTATATTATTGATCTAACTTTAACAAATCTGTGATTACAGGTGTGAAGAAAGGTCGTCTGTAACATCGCCAAGTTTTCTGGCGTCTCTACTGAACAGTCCTCTGGGCGTCTCTACTGTATCAGTCCTCTGTGCGTCTCTACTGAACAGTCCTCTGTGGTCTCTACTGAACAGTCCCTCTGTGCGTCGCTACTGAACAGTCCGTCGTTGCGTCTCTACCTCGAACAGTCCGTCCGTGGTCTCTACTGAAACAGTCCTCTGTGCGTCTTACTGACAGTCCTCTGTGCGTCTCTACTGAACAGTCCTCTGTGGTCTCTACTGAACAGTCCGTCCCACCCCCCCCCCGACACCCATCACTCCCCCCCTTTGTCCTTTCTGTGCGTCTCTACTGAACGTACGTCTGGTGCGTCTTACTGAACAGTCTCTGTGCGTGTCTCTATGAACAGTCCTCTGTGCGTCTCTACTGAACAGTCCTCTGTGCGTCTCTACTGTAACAGTCTCTGTGCGTCTCTACTGAACAGTCGTCCGTGGTGCCAGAGTCGTGCGTTGTGATGCTGCATGCGCGTCTTTTGTATTGAAACCCGACGCAACGCATGCCTCGGTCTGAAACGCGCCATTAGTCTATATGGGCGCCTCGAGCCTCCATCTACATTAATGAGATGGGGAGGAGTGTGATTGTGGCCTGTGATATCAACTGCTTCGTTCAAAAATAAAATATTGATTGAAGAAAATATCGCATCATATAAAACAATGACATTTTTTTGCTTGTAAATTTTTTAAGTGAATAAGTAAGCATTTCCCCCCCCCCCCCTGGAAGGTCCACTTGGTCTATGGTCGCATTTCATATGGAATCCTAATCTCCCGACTTCTCAAAGGATCTAGCCTCACAGATTACTCCAGTGTATCAATATAGGAGGGTTGCGAAGGAGGCGCAGGCGACAGAGGTGTGTGGGAGCTGCTATTGTGATGGTTTTAGTTCGAATGACAACATCAAAATGTATATAAGCTTTAGAGCTCACTAGGGCTTTGACTTTTGTACAAAATCATATTCGGTAAGTTCGTTTTGTTTTAATAATTTAAACATTTGAATTTATTCGAATATTGATTATAATTTATTACCGGCTCCTAACATTATCAGGAGTACAACGGGCTTTCAGCCAGGCGCATGTCAATACTTGTGTCTGTACATTGGATCTGTTAGGTCTGTGCAGACTGGGCTAGCACCCCCCCCTGCTAGCCCCCAAATAACCATTCACCATGAAGAACTGACATTTAGGACACATTTGAAGAGGATATGATACTGGATATAGGTTGGGTATATAAATGATTAATGATAAGGTTGCGTATATAATGGTAACTCACCGCTGATGGTCAGAATTTTATTATTTTCTTTTTTTCTAATAATTTTATTTAAATGTTATAACAAAGTTACAAAAGAGTTACAAATAACATTGACCATAAACCTGGCCCTTTTTTTTTTTTTTTTTTCAAACAAACCCCACACAAGGACCAAAAATAAAATACCACGAAAAGCATAATTACAGAATCAGTATGATTATAATAATAAGAAAAAAATAAAATAAACAAAACCAACATACATATGAGAGCGACAGCAAACAGACTGCAAATACGATAGTTAATGGCAACGGATACACTGAAAGATCATGTTACACGATACATGATAAATATATGAAAGAAAGTTATATTTGGGCTTCATGTATGAACGTGCGTAGAAAAGGGTGTATATTCCTTTACGCAAGATCCGACGTGCATTTATGAACGTGTGAGATACGCACAGACTCTGAGAGTACGGCCCTGCAGTGTTGATAAATTGCCGCGCTCATATCCAGCGTAGTTTATGAAAGTCACGCCTAGAACTAATCAGAAACTGCCTGTTCCACGCCTGTTTTGCGACAGGTCGGCAGGAAGTCGGGCTAAGAAGCCAGCAAAAGCACACCACTTTGAGTTTATTTCACGTTTTTAAAATTTATCTACGCGTTTTCCCAATAGACTGAGGTGATAGAGGCGGTGGTTATAGAGGCGGTGGTTATAGAGGGGGTGGTTATAGAGGGGGTGGTTATAGAGGGGGTGGTTATAGAGGCGGTGGTTATAGAGGGGGTGGTTATAGAGGCGGTGGTTTATAGAGGGGGTGGTTATAGAGGGGGTGGTTATAGAGGGGGTGGTTATAGGGGAGGCGGTGGTTATAGAGGCGGTGGTTATAGAGGCGGTGGTTATAGAGGCGGTGGTTATAGAGGCGGTGGTTATAGAGGCGGTGGTTATAGAGGCGGTGGTTATAGAGGGGGTGGTTATAGAGGCGGTGGTTATAGAGGGGGTGGTTATAGAGGCGGTGGTTATAGAGGCGGTGGTTATAGAGGGGGTGGTTATAGAGGGGTGGTTATAGAGGGGTGGGTGTTATAGAGGGGGTGAGGGGTGTATAGAGGGGTGGTTATAGAGGGGGTGGTGGGGTGTTATAGAGGGGTGGTTATAGAGGGGGTGGTGGTATAGAGGGGGTGGTTATAGAGGGGGTGGTTATAGAGGGGTGGTTATAGAGGGGGTGGTTATAGAGGGGTGGTTATAGAGGGGGGTTTATAGAGGGGGTGGTTATAGAGGGGGTGGTTATAGAGGAGAGGGGGTGGTTAAGAGGGGGTGGTTATAGAGGGGGTGGTTATAGAGGGGGTGGTTATAGAGGGGGTGGTTATAGAGGCGGTGGTTATAGAGGGGGTGGTTATAGAGGGGGTGGTTATAGAGGCGGTGGTTATAGAGGCGGTGGTTATAGAGGGGGTGGTTATAGAGGGGGTGGTTATAGAGGGGGTGGTCGTAATGTTGGTAACGAGGGTAGCAGATAAACCTGTTACTTGTTTGGACCTCCGCCTCCCGTGTCTGTTCCACACCCGGTTTAATTTTGTTATTGAGCCACACTCCTAGACACCACCCCCTTGTGGCTCGTAATACAAACACAAACACATAGGCCTTATGCCTGCGTGCGAGCATCCGCCTGCACACAGACATTTACAAACACAAACACATTGGGCCTCATTTATGAAAATTGCGCAGAAAAAGGTGTACATTTTGGGTGTAGATTTCAGATACGCAAGATCTGACGTGGCATTTATGAACATGTGAGATCCGCAAAGATTTGAGCGTACGCACCTGCGGCTGTTTAATAAATGCTGCGCTCAGAACCAGCGTATTTATGAAAGTCACGCCTGTAAATATTCTGAAACCGCCTGATCACGCCCTGTCTTTACGACAGGTCAGCAGGAAGTCGGCTAAGAAGACTGAGTCTTATTCACGTTTAAAAAATATATATATACGCTATAATATATACACTTTTTTCCCTAGTGTCTAGATCCACTGCAGCGCTCATCTCTCCTGAAATTTCGACGTAATAGACAAATAATAAATGAATTAATGAATGAAATATACTGCCCGTGAGCCAGTTCCCATATGCGCCTTGCCATCCTATCTCTGCTCTGCGGTGAACAGGGCAGTGGATGAGACAGTTTTGAGCAAGATCAGGTGCATTTATGGGGCTTTATGCACAAAACTAAGGAAAACCCACATTGCTTTGAGGTGAATGAGGCAAAACATATGCATAATTCTACGTCATGGTGCTCCGCCCCTTAGAAGGCTACGCTGTGGGTACTCTTAGAAGCGTCCAGCTTCCTGCCAGAGATAACTAAATGCTCCAATCACGTGCCAGTCCCATCTATAAATAGCCCTCTACAGCCCGCACCTGCCACTTTTCACTCTGGCGCCACTGAGAGAATTCTACTCACCACACTCGAAGTCTGAAGATGTCGTCGCCGTCTCCTGCTCGTCCGAGGACTCCTTCGCCCTCCCGTGTCGGACGAAGGAAGTGCGACGTCTGCCGTCTCAGGCTGAGTGGTTCTAAGGGGACTGTCGGGTCCCCCATTCGAACGGTGGCCCGGGCCAGTCCAGAGTGTGTGGCTTTTAAGACTGCCCTTTTATTGGCCTTGGCGTCAACCAAAAGGGCGGGAGACCTATACGCTCTCAATCAGCCCGGCCTGCTTATCGTTTGGAGCTGGGGATGGTTTGGTGGAACTTTGGGCCAATCCAGCCTTTCTTCCCAAGGTCGTTTCTTCGACCTTTAGGTCAAGGGTTATCAGGATCAGACCTTTTTATCCGCCCCCTCATACCCTGGAGGAGGATGAGCGGCGGCACTTGTTGTGTCCACTCAGGATGCTTAGGTGCAACTTGGACGTCACAGCTACGTTCAAACGCTCTGACCAGCTGTTTGTGTGTTTGGGTCCTAGGAACAAGGGCGCCCCGCTGTCCTCTCAGCGACTGGCGCAATGGGTTTCCCGAGCGGTCTGCATGGCATACCAGGCTCAGGGGTTGGTTCCTCCGGTGGGATTCAGGACGCATTCCACACGGGGAGTGGCAGCCTCCACGGCTCTGCTCCAAGGTGCCACAGTGGAGGACGTCTGCCAGGCTGCAGAAGTCCTGGACTTCGTCCTCTACCTTTGCTCAGTCTTATCTGGTTAACGTGTCAGAACGGTCTGTGGCCCACTCTGTTCTGAACACTGGGATCTGATTAGGACTGTCAGGTGCTCTTGGGAGAGGCAACCTAGGGTCCTTTATTTATAACATACATATTGCATATATGTATTGATCAGGGCCGCCCTGTTCAGGTGCTCTTTATAGAGGCGTCCTGGGGGTCTGCTCTAAGCTTTTTTCGCTTGGGCAGCAGTGGTCTCAGTAGTTCTTGGTAGAGGCGACCTGGACACTTGCCTGACCTTGTCCCTCTGGGGTCCTGGCCTTCCCTTCGGAAGCTCTTGGTAGAGGGGTCCTGGGACTGCAGCCACCCCCCCTTGGGAGAAGTTGACAGGGGCTTCGGGCGTCCTTGATAGGAGCGGCCTTTAACACTGTGTTGGATTCCTTTTCCTGCCCTGAGGCCACTCACCTTGGAGGTGTTGGGGGTATCTCGGGAAGGGCTCCAATCACTGGCCTGATGGGAGTACATGTTTCCAACGGCTTACGCGTGGTTACCCATAGCGTAGCCTTCTAAGGGGCAGAGCACCATTACGTAGAATTGGTAGTTACCTAATGTAACTTAAGTTCTACGAATGGTGCGTAGCCCCTTAGCTACAGGCCCATCAGTCCAGCCTGGCTTTGGCAGAGTTCAAAGTGGCAGGTGCGGGCTGTAGAGGGCTATTTATAGATGGGACTGGCACGTAACTGGAGCATTTAGTTCTCTCTGGCGGGAAGCTTGGACGCTTCGAAGAGTACCCACAGCGTGGGTAACTTAAGTTCTACACACTATTCGTAGAACTTAAGTTACATTAGGTAACTACCAATTACGTAGCGCAGGGTCTGCCACAGGTTAGTGAGTAAACTGCTAAGGAAAAATACTTAACGGAGCAGGAGATTGAGACCATTGTGAACGAAGTGGGATAAAGAATAAAGTCTTTCTATTTGGAAGCCTCAAAAGTGGTATCAAGGGGCTCAAAAAAGAAAATATGGAAAGAGTTGAAACATCTGTAAACAGCGTGGGGCCTGCAACACGCACTCCCGAAAAGGTGAGTTTATTCATGTTTGAAGAAATACATGCTATATTATGTCAAACAGTTGACAGTTATGTTGGACCAATAGTTAGGATTTATTGATTTATGCCACAGGTGAAAAAAATGGAGCGACCGGTAACAAAAAGGCGTTTAGCAGCTCATAGAAGAAGTGCTCAGCAGCCCAGGGGGAGGACCGCCAGACCAAAGCATCCAAAAGAAAATATAAAGAAATAAAATTATCTTCAAATTATGTATGTGATTATTATTTTGAAATGGTTGAATGAAGCCTGTCTGAGCTGTACAGGCCGAAGGCGGTGGTCTCTCATCCATGGGCTGCTCCACCAGTGCATCCAATGGCACACCGTGGTCCTGTGCCAGCTGTGGAGAACCGAGCCAGGACCATGTGGCACACTTGTACCGGGAGGTACCAGAGTGTACGTCCCAGAGCCATCTTCCACTGATCAGACCCACTTCTTCTGATCAGACCCACTTCTTCTGATCAGACCCACTAGCCAGTCAGAGCCAGTCAGAGCCAGTCAGAGCCAGTCAGAGCCAGTCTGAGCCAGCCCAGAGTCTCCACACATTTGAAACAGCCTGGCATAGAAAGCCTCAGTGTGTTAAGGCCTTCATTGGCCCATCAATAATAAATATATAAAAGCACATATGACACATTTTCAAATGATAAATATGAAGCAAGTTTGAATGAAGTGGATTATTTGTTAATAACACATTATTGTGTTAGTGAATTCCAATAGGAATTTCCAACAGGAAAACATGGACAGTTTGACACAGTTCCCAGTGTGAGATGTGCTGCATATGCCATTCATCTGTACTGAGGACTCACCAGGCACTTTACCCACTGCTAGTATTTTTAATTCTGCATTTATACTTTCATATATATGCTGCCAAAGTTCAATATCCTTATTTGTTATGTTGATGATTAGCATTTGTCACATTTTGTTTTTAGAGCAAACAAATATGGCTCTTTGCATGAATGTCAAGTCTATGTCATGTTTGGATTTCACTTTTTAAGTTTGCAGAATGACATAACTTTTTAAAGAGCGACTAAACACCAAATCCACTTTTTTTAACTCATAAACTCCATACATATGTTTATTGTAGTGCTGTCTACATATCCTGGTCATTCTTTTGACATTTTAGTTCAAATTAGATAAAATATCACTTTTGAGCCAAAAAACGTCTGTGTGGTGCCCTCTCAACCTTTTTGGTGGTACTACATTTGAATTTGGTTCTGGCCTCTCCATTGACTCTGAAGTTCTCTATGACATCAGTTGTTTTGTGTGACGTCAGTCTGTCAGAGCCAGTGATGTGAACCCATTCAACTCTCACACACGCCCCAGCTGCAGTTTGCAGTATTCTGGCGCCATCTAGTGGATTAAAATTAAATTACATGAGTCATTCTGAGATTATTGAGTGTGATTAGGTTCAGGTGTGTAGCTTTACAGTTATCTTAGTGTGTAAACAAGGGTGGAATGAGACTTTCTGGTCTGTAAACTATTGCTTTAAGCAGCAATGACAACTGTCTGGTTTTTTTTTTGTGTGACAAGTGAGCTGTCAATCACAGCCCAGACCACGCCCAACTCTAAGCCCCCCTTCTTGTCCCTTAGTCCTCCAGGCAACGCCCTTTTTAGAGAAAATGTTCAAATCTTCATGTGAGCGGAGTAAGGCTGGGTACAGGTGTTTAGTCGCTCTTTAAGGATATTCTACTTTTCTGAGATCCACCTGTACGTGCCATTGGCCCCTCTGAATACCACCAGAGGCGTCCGTGCCATTAGGCAAGGCAGGCAGCTGCCTGGGGCCCACAAACTGGCATGGGCCCCTGAGGGCCGACTGATTTGACACAAGCGGCTAAAAACTTTTTGTCTGATGCAAAACTTGCCACGATCTTCATTAACAGTTAAAATCCTTCCTGGGGCAGCCTCTGTATTGAATGTCACAGTGGTCTAGTGGTTAAGTTGCAGCATTTTGGATTAAACTATATATTATATTATATGACAGATTGCTCAAGAACGGTATAAGGTAAAAACAAGCCGTTTTTGGAAGTAAGTAATGTTTATTTATATAGCACATTTTACAGACCAAGGTCACCCAAAGCGCTTCACAATGCTCAGAGTTCAGATATTGTTTCAATCATTCCACACACGGTGATGACAGAAGCGAAGAGACTAATCTTTAATCTAGACTATATAAACACACAGGGCCAAATGAAAGATTAGACTTTGTAAGATTAATTCACTTTGATGTGTAGTTTTTGTAATTAATTATAACATGATGAGTGTAGTGAACAAGCTTATAAAAAGTCATGCTAAATTATTTCTCATTGCTTTGTGTCACGATATGTACTGAAGTAGACTGTACCAGGCAGGCCCAAGGCCTATACATTCATTTTTAAAAATAATAAATTATCTAAATTTAATTTATATTAATGTAAATAAGTAATAGATATTGCTTTTCACCTTATTATTAAATATATATTTTATACCTACTGTAATAAAAACCTTTTTATGTGGTTATGTGGTTGGTATCGGGCCCCCAAGGCCCCCCTCTGAATACCACCAATCATTCAGCACACCGTAGACTCAAAGGCAAAGTGAGTAAGTGTCTTACCGTAGGATACAACAGTTTGGCACTTTACAGATGCAGCCCCCTCACTGTGGCACCTGCTGTTCTCAGAGGTCTCCCATCACAGTCCTGACTTGCTTAGCTTCGGGAATCTGATGGGATCAGGACTTCACATACAGGTGGCTCTAAACTAAAAACAACACAAGTTTTGACGTGGAAATGGATGGACTTTAACTCAATATGTCGACTACTGTGTGTGTCTCTACAAATTACTCAAGTCCAGCATAAAACACAACATAAAAGGCACCAAACTAGTAGTTCCGGTGTTAATGGACAGCATCAGCACTGGTTATGGTCAATTCAATCTGTGGAAAGACTCAGAAAAAAGGATGCGTACAGTCTAAGTCAGTGAGTTTCCTGTTTGCATTGGTTCAGAGCGTTCAGATGAGCCTCCTTGGTTTCACAGCCTTCAGTGGATAAGTGCAGTATAAATGATGCATTCATATTTCTGATGCTGTGTCGTGACGAGACAACGAGTTCATCAAGATCAGAAATGTTGTTACCTACAATGCATTCATGTAGTGTGAGAGTTTCCTCTGTCGTCAAAATATGTGTTTTATCACTTACCGAGCGTCTTCAACTGTTGGATGTAAATTGGACACGATCAGTACCAACGACTCAAAGAACACTTCTGCCAAAGAAAAGAGTTAAAACATCTGGAGAGAGCCGTCAAACACAGCCTCTCTCTGCCCTCCTCAGCACATACTGAGGCTCTGAGCCACTGGGCCACAGGCAGAGGACTTTGGAGTTACCATAGCAACCAGAATTCTAGATGATGTCGTCCCATGACATCGTTCAAAGCAACTTCTGTGTAAAATACAGTAGACAGGCAGTGTTAGAAAACCTGTTATAAATGATTCATCAATATTACTGAACAATGTTGTGTAGTGAGGAGACGACTAGTAATAAATGTTAAATGTCTACACAAGTCATTCATGTGGTTTAAAAGTCCTATATCACGCTTTTCTTCATGTTTCACAGTCAATCTTGCCCGCATGGCGACGTAGCATCACGCTCTTGTCGTTTATCACCTGTACTTAGTAATTTCATACATAAGAATAAACTTTTTCCAACAATGACAATCCGTCACATTGAGCCCTATGTCCTCGATGCACAATCAGACCCTAGTTATTTAGTTTACAGAAGTATACAGCGAGTTAGCGTCACTACTCACAGATCGAGGGGGTCCGAGTTACGTCTTTTACCGTGGGAATAACGTGTTTCCAGATCAGCTTTTGAGTAAGTCCAGTTCCATTGTTCCTGTAGTTCTGGAACAGTCTAAGTGAAGTGTCGCAGATGAACCGGTATTATAATAGATCCATGAGATGAACAGATGAAAAAAGTCGAGCCACTTTCTTCCTCTTCGGGCCAAATAGTGTGTCACATATTTACACCCATAACACACTTCATTCAAGTTGACGTGATCCTAACACTTTTAGTTGCTGACTAAAGCATATAAACAGCAGCTCTATGTGGTGTCCGCGAGACCAGACCACAGACGCTGGACTCGGGAGCCGGACTCGGGAGCTGGCTCTGCGCGCCGATTCGCTGTTTTGATCCGTCAATTACCTCCCGCCGGCTTTTAATTTATTTCTATTTTTATTATTTTTTACAACAAACAGCATACTACTTGTGTATTGTTTACCCCGTTTTGACAAAAGTATTTAAAAACTATTTTAAATACAAAGCAAACGGGGTTATGCGCGTCATCAGAGTGGTTTTCATCACTGAAGTGGACCCGAGCGTTTCTGTGCCTCTCGCTTTTACTATCCATCCATCCATCCATTTTCTACCCTTTAATCCATTTCTGGGTCAGGGGGGTGACAGTCAGAGATGCCACCCAAGTCTCATAGCACCAGCCCCTCACTGACCCTCTGCAGGTGGTGAGTCCACAGGAGGACGGCTGCTCTAAGTGTGAGCATAGCCTCGATCTTTCAGTGGGGGCTTTGGGCAAAGTGGGGTTAAGTGTCTTGCCCAAGGACACAACGACAGCAGTCATCAGTGGGAGTCGGTGGAGAAGGTGCAGAGGTGGGAATTGAACCCACGACCTTCTGGCCTTAAGACCAATGCTCTACCAACTGAGCTACTGTCGCCCCTCGCTTTTACTAAAAGAATGAATTTTAAATGTAAACAATACGACAATACAGCTGATAGATATGTAAATGTTTTAATTAACATTAGTAAATATAAAATAAAAATAATAAGCTGCTGGGCTGGGGCTGTCTGCTTCTCGCCCACTGCGGCTCTGGCTTCGGGGTGTCCGCTCCACCCACTCTCAACATCAGCCTGGACCAGGAGCCAGAGGAGCGCTGGAAGCCCCTGAGCCTTTACTTCGACCCCGCGTATCTCAAGAACGCATCGGACAAAGTTATTGAGTAAGTGCTGAGTGGATGTCAGCTGCTGCAGGACCGACAGGCTTGAATAGAATGAAGCTGGACATGCTGGAGAGGAGATGTCGGGACGATCAGGCTAAATATGGATGTGTAGCACTCATGTTGGATGATGTGTTCATCAGAAAACTTGTTCAGTATAATCCACATACCCAGTCAATGTGTGGTCTTGTAGACCTGGGTGATGGAAGCAGCCAGACTGATTTTGCTACTGAGGCTCTTGTGTTCATGGTGGTTGGACTACAGGGACATTGGAAGGCTCCCATTGCATAGTACCTGATGAATTCTCTGTCACCAGACACTCAAAGGGTCCTTCTCAGTCATGCTTTGGAGGAGCTGCATGCACGGGACATCCAGGTGGTTAGTGTAACAATGGATGGACATGCCTCCAATGTCAGAATGTGTGATGAACTTGGGTGTGAGCTGAAGGGAAACCCACGAGAGCCCCTTAAAACCAGTTTCCCTCATCCAGTGACTGGTGAGAGAGTGTTTGTCATTATGGACGCATGTCACATGCTGAAGTTGGCACGTAACATGTTGCAGGTAAATGATGATTGTTGTAGACCTATTTCTACAAGTTATGTCTGAATATTTTCTGTCATTTTGCTGTTTGTACTTGTTTTAACACTGACTGAATCTTACTCTACAGGCATACAGTCCAATTGCAACGACCACTGGACAGATCAATTGGAGGTACAGAAAGACAAACATGTCTACTTTGAGAACCACAAGATGAGGGTGTCCCTGGCTGCGCAAACGCTGAGTCGCTCCGTGTCAGTGGCTCTCCGTACAATGAGAGATCTTGGGTACTCTCAGTTTAAAAACTGTGAGGCAACGGTAGAATTCATTGAGGTAATACAATTAGTAATTATATAATCAAATACCGGTACATGTTTTTTTAATAATTCATCAAATTTGATTTGAGCATCAGGAACAATTCATGGACTATTCTGACACTCTAAATGTTGAACTTTGCTGTAGTACCACACAGGTCAATCAAATATTAAAACTTACATGTTGAACATACAGATAGAAATAGGTACTCTGTTCTCTGTATATTTTGAATAGATGAATATTGATTTCAACTATCTGATACCTAATGAAACATTGTAATGATAATGATTTAGATGCCGATTTGTCTTACTAGATGGTTGACAGGCTGTTCGATATCATGAATGTACGCAATCCTCGTGCCAAAGGAGAAGAAAGCTTTTTTGTCAAGAGCCCGGGAGTACTTGCTCACTTTGGTGACAAAAGATGGAACACCTCTTCATCAATCTAAGAGGTCAAATTATGTATTGCATGAAAAGTTCATGACATGAGTTCAATGCTGTTTGCGCATCGGGTTCCTAAGATGCTCTGTTCACTGCATCAGGTTCATATGATGCTACTGTTACAATGGTTTTTCCTGTAATTTTGTCTCTTCAAATTGTTTTGTATTCAGTCCCACACAAGTGTCATACCAGTAAGTATGCAAACATGATGCTCATTTATTAAATTTTTTTTCAATGTTCAGTTGCAACTGTTTTTTGTTGGAATTGTCTTGTATTCAGTGTGTTTCAGGTCCCACATGCTTCTAAATGGTATGTATTACACCACATCAAGTTTTTTGCAGGTGTCAGATGGATGGTATGTACGTTATTATTATGTTCTCTTGCTTCAATGTCTTTCAATCTGCAGTTTTGTTTCTATTTTAATTATCCGGTTTTCAGTGTGTCTCAGGTCCTAGATGTTTCTAAATGGTATGTATTACACAAAATGCATGTAGGTGTCAAAATGGTAAGTATTGCATGTGTTCTTGTTCACAAGTTTTCCCAGTTCAAGAATTGGTGATTACACATTACTGATGGATATGATGGAAAATTCACTGTATTGCTTTGAATGAACACAATGATATGTTGCCTAAAAAACGTTTCTTTTTGCAGGTATTTGTCTGTCATTGGTTTGTCATTAACATCGACACGTTGATGGTGATGATTCCTGAACTGCTCCAAATCCAGCGGTATGTCCTCACCTACAGGTTCAGCCAGGATCACTTGGAGCTCCTTTTTTAGTCAATTAGAGCGTCAGGTTGGTTTGATGTTCTTATAATTACAATAAATTATGAAAACATAGTTAAATAATATCTTTGTGTGTTATGTCTTGTGTGTATTGTGTGCCTGTTTTGCATACAAGGTGGCTGGAATAACAATCCGTCTGCACGCCAGTTCCAGGCCATCTTCCGCCGCCTGATGGTCCGGTGTGGTGTCTCTCCTAGTGAGACAGGCAATGTGGCTGCCCAAGATGACACTGTGTCCTTGTCTGCAGTAGAGATGTCGTCTGCTGAAACTGCTGAAGAGCACCCATCTCCATTTGCCAACATTTCAGCCGTTGTGTTTGACACTTTTACTCTGTCTTTGCTTTGTTCTTGTCACTCATGGTTGTCACTTTTTTATTATAACCATATATATATATCACTCACACACATATATACACACATGTGTGTATGTTTCAGTATTTCACTTGTTGCATAAATGTCCTTAACTTTTTGTGAGTAGTGTATATACACAATATTGTGTGTTATGCAAAATCCTATCATACATCACATAAATCATATATCAGAATATTGTATTACTGTTAAACCCACTACGAACAATAAAATACGCCAAACCATGTGTCCTGTATCATAGCTACATGTGTGAGGTTTACAGTAAAAACAAAAAAAAAGTGAAAATCATTGAAGTATTCAGCGTGTTATGATTGATTAAATGCGCCGACACGTCACTGCGCCTACTAAACAGATGAGACTGAGAGGAGCGGGCGACCGGTCCAAGATGGCGGCCCCGCGGCTCGTCAGCGCCAATAGACAGATGAGACTGAGAGGAGCGGGCGACCGGTCCAAGATGGCGGCCCCGCGGCTCGTCAGCGCCAATAGACAGTAGCGGCGTCTAGTCTTTATATGGCTATATGCCCGAGCACGAGGAGCTCCAGAAAGCATTCTCCACGATCCACAAGCTCAAAGGAAGCAACAGGAGCTAACAGGAGAGAGCTAACAAGAGAGAGCTAACAAGAGAGCGCAAACAAGAGAGAGCTAACAAGAGAGCTGAGAACTGATCAACCTGACTTCAGAGACTACTAACGTTATAACGCAGGAGGTTTAGCCACAGGAGGCTAACGGGAGCTAACAGGAGCTAACAGGAGCTAACCCAGTGGAACATGGCAGAAGTGAAACTTGAGGAAGACTTTGAGCTCAGAGACATAAAGGAGGAACCACAGGACCCTGAGTAAGACACACACACACACACACGGCATTTTTGTTTAGGAAAAGGACGTTCATATTTTATATCCATCTCCATATTTAAAATGTATCGGTACATTATGCTAGGGGTGGGCGATATGTCAAGATATTCTTTAAACTCTTTATGCATTCTGTGAAAACTGACGCAGATTACGCAGCGATAGATGATGAAGTCATGACGTCGCCGAGGGGTCCTACTCTGCAGTGGAGCCACTGAGGCCCAGTCCCAATACCCACACTGCACCCTACACTCCTCTACGAAGTGTGCATGTGTCCGAAGTGCACACCAGGGTTGGAGTGCGCAGGTTACAAGTGTGTCAGAGTGTGTTCACAGTAAAGTGACAATTGAAGTATCTGGACTTTAAAAGGTTATAACTTAAAAACTAAAATTAGTTTCATAGATTGGAAAAAAGATTTCTAACACAGACACATTGAAGAGATAGTGTGTAAAAAATCAAAAGGAAAGATTGACATAAAAATGTTTAGCAACATTTTAAACGACCAGATCAGCCTCTGATTGGACCATTCTACTGTGACGCCGGTTACATAGAAAATAAAATGTCCTCAGTCTGAAAAAGCAGAAGATGAAATCCCACAAGATTTACATGGTTAACACAACAGGAGGAAATCACTTGATATAAAAAGGAATCGTAAAAAAATAAAAAATAATGAATTAATTAAATGACCCCTGAAAAATGTATAACGGACGTGATGAGGACGGTCCTCTTTTCTCTAAAAATTAAACTTGAGAAAAAAAAAAATCTGGTCTGTTTTCAGATTTAATTGCTTGACAATATGAAAGTATCACTTTGCATCTACTTTGTGTAAAAAAGTAGAATCTCTGAATCAAATGTGGACATCTGAAAATACCTATCAAACTTGCACAAAGCTCATTCCGTCAAATCATCACGTCTGTTAGATAAAATAAACAGGGCCGCTATAGGAAACTTGTCTAATGTATAAAACAGTTATGTTCTAGCAACTTCTAATGGACAGAGGAGGTGCTTGGAAACATGAAAAACATAAAATATCTTCTGTTTATTAAAATGTAATTTTTGGCCTTTTGTCACACTTTTGTGCCCTTTAGTGTGAACAAGCCCTGCACAAAAGGCAGAATTGGGACAGTGCACACTGAGTGCAGGTTACGTCATCGACTCGTCAAGAGATGGTCATTTTCAGACCTAAACTTTGTCTGACCCTTTGGGAAACAAAATGAATTGCTCCACACACGTTAAAATACATGTATATTAGTTGTTTTTAATTAGAGATAGCTGTATAATTTTAAGTTAAATGTGGGTAACTAACTATCTGGTCAGTTTTTATACATTCTAAGATGATTGTACTAAGTGTAAAGTTTAAATTGAATGTTATATAAACGCTTGGTTTAAAAAGTTATTAAATTGTTAAAACACAATGTCCATAATTCTTCATCAGACGTTTATGCTTCTTTCCAAGTAACAGCAAAACGTATTTACACACATACAGCATATATATTACAAAATGTATATTTAAATGCATTTTCCCGACGTTTTGATGTGTACCGCAAAGAATTATGGGCAATATCCTTCGCCAGAGTGCGCATAGATGCAGGCTACGGCGAAGTGTGGATCAGGGGCGCAAAGGGGGCGGGGCCAAAGATCTCCCTGGAGAATTGGGACACACTACGCACTCGCACCCTTTATCGGGAACGCGCAAATGAGGGGCGCGAGGGT